ACAGGCATGAGCCACCGCGCCCAGCCTACCATATAATCTTTTATCTCTCTCATCAGACTCTAGGGAGGAGGAGGAGCCCTGTCCACCTTCTTCACTGTTTTATCAGTCTAGCACATAGCCAGGCACAAGACACTCTGTAAATATTTGTTGATTGCTTTGAGTGTTTAATTTATGGCAAAGGTAATGTTTTAAATCAGTGGGGCAAGGATTATTGATAAATGAAAGATTATTTATAAATGAAGAACTTGGAAAATATAAAGGTGCATCCTTACCATTTACTAAAATGGCTTAAGGTGGATTAAACAGTAACATTAAAAACAAAAATTCTTAATTCTAACAAAAAATAATTTAAATCAACTAGAACACCATGTCAGTGAATGTGAATATTTTCCTGGTCTTGGGGGTGAAAAAGACCATAACATACAATGAGCATCAACCATAAAGGAAAATACTGATAGATTTAACTTGATAAAAACTAAATTTTACTATGTAAGAAAACATCATAAAGTTAAAAGACTAACCAAGAAAATATTTGTACCATTTATGACAAACCGTTCATTCAATAAATACTGTTTGCTGTAACAGAGCTTGGAGATAACAGAAACTACTGTAGCTCTCTTAAGCAGAAAGAGATTTTATCCACAAAACTAAGACTTAAAAAATTGTTGGAAGGGGCAGAGAAGCACTATAGCCTGGGCTTCCAGAGTGAAAAGAACATTGCACAAGTGGCCCACCAGAGATCTACTTCCTATCTCTCCTATGATCAGGAAGTTGCTGGGGCCAGGTGCTGGCTCCAGGGTGGCTTCAACATTGTATAGTAACAGGAGTAAGGGGGGTAGAAAGGAAGATAGTGACCTAGTGTTTGTATTCTTGATGAAATAAAGGTATCACAGAGGCTGGGTGTGGTGGCTCACACCTATAATTCCAACACTTTGGGAGGCCAAGGTGGGAGAGTTGTTTCAGGCCAGGAATTCGAGACTAGCCTGGACAACATAGCGAGACCTTGTCTCTCAAAAAATAAGAAAAATTAGCCAGGAGTGGTGGTGCACTCCTATAGTTCCGGCTACTCCAGATGGTGAGGCAGGAGAATCGCTTGAGCCCAAGGAGTTCAAGGCTGCAGTGAGCTATGATTATGCCACTGCACTCCAGCCTGAGTGACAGTGAGAACTTGTTTCTTTAAAAAAAAAAAAAAAAGTCATAGAAATCAACAACTAAAAGACCAATAGAGAAAATTAATACAAAAATAAATAATTATATGTACAAAAAATGGACAATAAGATGATGATTGCTAAGTTTTATTGAGTTTTAGTCTGCGTTCAGATACTATCTTAATTACTTAATATGTACTAACTCACTTATTCCTTCCAATAACTTATAAAGTAGAAACTATAATGTTCATTTTACAGATAAGGAGAAAACAGAGGTAAAAGGAGGTTAAATAGCTTGCCTAAGGTCTGTTGAGCTATTGAGAGGTGGAACAAGCATTTATACCCAAATTCATGGATTGTGGTGAACCTGAAGAAAAGGAGAAAGTTGGATGATGTGATGACTCAAAAATTGGGGTGCCATTGTTAAAATCATGGGAATTGGGACAGAAGCTGGCTTTTAGAAGGCACAATGAGTTTGTTTCTAGATGTGCTTAGCTTGTTATGATGGTGTGGCATCCTTTTACAAATAACTCAATTTCTGAGCTATGCAATAGTTCTCTGTACCTCCAGTACCTAATGAAGAGCCCAAGGAATTTAATCTAGTCTGCTCATCCTTCTATTGCTGCCTTTTAGCTAAACCTCTCCTTTGCCCCCCTGGATAAAGGGATACCTTAATAAGAAGGAGGAAGATTTAGCTCAAAATTGTCTTTGCCGTCTGCAAGTTTTTTAGATTTGCTTTGATTGACCACTATGATGTAAGCTGAACAGTCCTATACAAAATGGCAAAAACCAAACATTTTTTTCCCTTTTGACACTGCTTTTTAATAATTTCTTAATAGTTTTTTGTTGGCTGGCCAGCTATAAATGCCTTGCTTTTCTGTTGTCAAGTCCTAGTTGTGCCAGCTGAATTGCCCTGAAACCTTAGGATTAACTATCTTTCAAGTTACAGATTTGTCATGGTAAATGCTAGCTAACCCAAGCTGGCTTCCTCCTGCCCTCCAGTTACTCTTGAGCCCTTTCACCATCTAGCTCTCTGTATTGGAGAATCATTTTGATTTCAGACTAAACAAGATATAATTAATAAATTAAAACTAATGCATTTTATAAGATTCTATATTCTCAAACTGTATAACTCCTAAAACATAGTCCAGAGCCAATAACAAAGCTATCCGCTCCCTCCATTAGAGAGTTTGAGCTTTGGTGTCAGAGAGGTAGCACCTGGAATCCAAGCTCTGCCACATACTTACTTTTACCCTGAGCAAGCTACTTATCCCTCCAGTCTGAGCTCCTTCATTTGTAAAATGGGGATATTAATGCCTACCTCAAAGAGTTGTAGTGAGGGTTAAATGACCTACATTACATAAAGTACTGGTTATAATAAAACAGTTGATAATTGGTAGGTATTATTCTAAACAATCAAGTTTACTATTAGCCATTTCTCACTTCAGAGATTCATTTAAGATTACTGCGAGATTAGAGGATTCAAAACCTGACTTGTGAATAGCACATTAAACTAAAGGAGCAAAAGACTGACTTCATTTACTCTTGCTCCCGATAGTTGGCCCCATTTCCTTGCTTTCCATCACTTTGTATGAATAAGCTCAACTCTGGCATGATATGAAACAAACCACATTTTACTTGACTCAAATACTTCTCCTAATGGAGGCACAAACACTATTGTTAGGTTGGAAACTGAATGTTAGTTACAGGTGTATAGGTCTACTAATTTTCTAATCCTGACAGAAGTTACCTGGATGCTGAATAATGCCAAATCTCAAAGTCCTAATATAAGCATTCATTACCAAATAAAAAAGTGGCTAGCACAAGAAATGGGAAAGAAAACTAAAATTTTTGAGTGCCTTTTCCGAGGTACTTTTACAGTGCTGGGCATTTTCCCATACCTTATCTCATTTATTCTTCTCAACGACATTATAAAGTATCATCTATTTAGGGTGACCATGTCCTGCGTTATGCCTGTCATCCTTACTGTCATCTTACTTTCTATTATTCCTATTTTATGGTTGAAGAAACGGAATTTAAAGGAAAGTAAGTATTCTGTGCATGGCTACAAAGCCAGAACACAGTTAGATTTCTTCTAAGAATATCCCATGCATACCTCGTTCAACTATTGCCTGGCTTCTATAACAAATCCACCATTGACCTGCTATTTGCTAAATCCATGGACAATCAAGCCATCATCTTTTTTTTTCTTCTTTTTTTTTTTTTAGAGACAGAGTCTCACTCTGTTGTCCAGGCTGGATCGCAGTGGTACAATCATAGCTCATTGCAGCCTGGAATTCCTGGGCTGAAGTGATCCTCCTGCCTCAGCCTCTCAAGTAGTTGGGACTGCAGGTGTGTGCCATTGTGCCTGGCAAATTTTTAAAAAATTTTTTTGGAGAGATGGGGTCTTGCTATGTTGCCCAGGCTGGTCCCAAACTCCTGGCCTCAAGTGATCCTCAAAGTCATCATCTTACTTGATCTCTATGCAACATCTCACACTGTTTACCACTCCTTTCTCTCAAATAGTTTCTCTTTGACTTCTGTGCACCATTTTCCTTGGTCTTTCTCACCTCTCTGGCTCTTCCTTCTGAATCTCCTTTTCCTTCTCCCCTCCCTTATATATTGTTCCTCCCAGACCCTCTTCTTAGATCACAGTTCACTCTCAAGGTGATATTCTTGACTTTAACTGCAGTTACTATCTGCCAGTAAGTCCCACACCTATAACTTTGGCCCAGAGCTCTCTTTCAGGATCTAGTCCCATATATCCAATAAGATCTGGACATGTGTCTTTGCATGCCCCAAAGTTACTTCATACAGCTGCTAAAAATTCATTATCTTCCTCCCCAAATTCCTCTTCCAGCAGTCCACTTTTTGTCAGTGGACTCACCATTCTCCCAGTCACTGACCACGGCCAGACACTTGGGTGTCATCCTGACTCCTCCCTCTGCCTCGGACCCCTTCCTAACAAATTATCAAGTCATGCAATTCTCCTTTAATTTCAGTCCACCTTCTCTGATCTCCACTGTCATCAACCAAGTTCCAACTATCTTCATGTCTCTCCTGGACTGCTGCAATAGCATCAGTCTCCCTGTCTCCACTTCCCCCCTCCTCCATTCCATCCTTTCTTGACGTGTAATCAAGTCACCTTTCTAAAATGAAAATCTGATCATGTCATTCTCCTTATAAAACCCTTAACCCTGAATTGTACACTTTAAAAGAGTGAATTTTATGGTATGTGAATTATATCTCAATTAAAAAAAAAACTTAACCTGGTTTACAAAGCCTCCTGTGATTTGATCTGGCTTCGACATCTGTCATTGCCTGCCTTCTCCCTGCCTCCCATCTATTCTTAGCTTTACCATGCAGCAGTTCCTTCTGCTCCTGAGCTTTCCACACTCTGATCGCTAACATTTGCACATGCTATTTCTTCTCTGAAGGAAGCATTCTCTCCTCCCCTTATCCTCTCCCTCCTCTTCAATTGGCTAACTCCTCCTTGTCCTTCAGATCTTAGCTTGAGCTGATACTTCTCCAGATTCCTCTGGATTGGGTTAGGCGGTCCTGATGTGTGTTCCTGAGGCATTTCATACTTAGTTATTTCATAGCATTTATCACAATATATTTGTTCATTCTGTGAATATTTACTGAGTAACTGCTCTGGGCTGGGCACTGGGCTAGGTGCTGGGTATTTAGTGGCAAATAAGAGATGTGGTCCCTGTACTTGTGGGGGATACAATCTAAGAAGGGAGGAAGATGGACATTAAACAGTAAGTTACACTAAATACTATAATTTTGATGTTTCAGAGCACCCTGAGATGGTATGACAAGAGATTTGACATAATTGGAGCTATCAAGGAAGACGTCTGTTACAAAGTGACATTTTAGCAACTTTAAGGAGCAGGATTTGGCCAAATGAAGAGTGGAGGGTGGGGTGTTCCATACAGAGGAACAGCATGTGAGAAGGCTCTGACAGAAAAGAGCTTGGGGGAGTCTCAGAAAGTGGAAGGCCAATGTGGGAGACAAAGAGGAGCCTGGAAGAGGCAAATCTTACCTTGTGGACCATGGTAAGAGTTTCTTCATCTTAAGAGAAGGAGGATGCCTTCAAAGACTTTAAATAGGGGAACTTTAAAAACTTGCCCTCGGGCTGGGTGCGGTGGCTCATGCCTGTAATCCTAGCACTCTGGGAGGTCGAGGCGGGAGGGTCCCTTGAGCTCAGGAGTTTGAGACCAGCCTGAGCAAGAGCAAGACCCCGTCTCTACTAAAAATAGAAAAATTAGCTGGGCGTGGTGGCAAGTACCTGTAGTCCCAGCTACTCAGGAGGCTGAGGCAGGAGGATCACCCGAGCCCAGGAGTTTGAGGTTGCTATGAGCTATGATGACGCCACTGTACTCTAGCCAGGTGACAGAGCAAGACTCTTCCTCAAAAAAAAAAAAACAAAAAAAAACAAAAAACTCTCCATGGCTGCTTTGTAAATGTGAAAGCAGGATGACAAGTTAAGAGGCTCAGGAATGTCTCTGAATCTCCCACTAAGCTGTAAGCTCCTTGAGGGCAGACATTGTGTCTTATTAATTTTTATATCCACAGAGTCCAGTACTGTGCCTGACAGATGCTCAGTATCATTTTAATGAATTGAATAAATGGATGATGGGGCCAAGATTCCAACTTAGGTTTTCAAGAGAGGCTCAGCTCAAGTATTAACACCCTATCTCCCCTACATACAGTCCTTCAAAGACCACCTCTCCTCCCCACCCTAGTCGGGGTTGGATATCCCTCCTTTACCCCGAGTGCATTTGTGGTAGATTGCATTTTCCAAAAATGGCCACAATAATAACTCACATCCCACCTATTCTTACAGTGTAACATTAACACTTTTCCCACTGAGAGGTGAGTCTAGTTCCCTCCCCTTGGAGTTGAGACTAGCTCATATGATTCAGCTGCCTCTTGGTTCTCTTGGGAAGCTCACTCTTGGAACTCAGCCACCATGCTGTGAGTAAGCCTAAACTGCCCTGTGTAGAGGCTCATATGGAGAAGAACTGATAGCCAGCATCAAGTTGCCAGCCATGTAAGTGAGCCATCTTTAAAAGTGGATCCTCCAGCTCCCAGCAGTCTACCCCAGTTCACACCTTTTGGAGAAGAAACGAGCTATCCCCACTGAACCCTACCCATATTGCAGATTCATTAGCAAAATAACTAGAATAACAAAGTAACTAGAATAGCCTCCTATGTTTGACATGCAGGGAGGTGGTACAACTCTGTGGTTAAGTCGGTGGGCTATGATTACCTTGGTTCAAAGCCCTGCTCTGCTATTTATTAATTGGATGGCTTTTGGCAAGTTACTTAACCTCTGTGTGCTTCAATATCATTTTTTCAGTGTTAAAAAAAAGTAGTACCTACTTCTTAAGTTTGTTGGGAGGATTAAAGCAGGTAAATGCAGATCCGCAAGTAATACAGATCAATCGTGATCATCTCAAATAAGCCTCTGGATCGTTCAACCATTGTTTTTTTCATGCGATTCTGGTTTTTGTCTTTATAGTACTTTCACTATATGAATATGTATATATATGTGTATGTATACAGGTTGAGCATCCCTAATCTGAAAATCTGAAATCCAAAACTTTTTGAGCGCTGACATCACACCACAAGTAGAGAATTCTACACATAAATACTTAAACTGGGTGCAGTGGCTTATGTCTGTAATCCCAGCACTTTGGGAGGCCAAGGGAGGAGGATCACTTGAGGCTAGGAGTTCCAGACCAGCCTGGACAAAATAGTGAGACCCTATCTCTTAAATAAATAAATAAACAAACAAACGAACAAACAAATAAATAAAAATTAGCCAGGCATGGTGGAATGAGTCTGTAGTCCTAGCTACTAGGGAGGACAGCTTGAGCCCAGGAGTTCAAGGCTGCAGAGAGCTATGTTCCAGCCACTGCACTCCAGCCTGGGTGAAAGAGAGAGACCCTGTCTCCAAAACACCCACCCACATACACACACACACACACACACAAAACACAAACTTTGTTTCGTGCACAAAATTATTTAAAATATTGTATAAAATTACCTTCAACCTATGTGTATAAGGTATATATGAAACATAAATGAATTTCATGTTTATACTTGGGTCCCATCCCTAAGATATCTCATTATGTATATGCATATATTCCAAAATCCAAAAAAATCTGAAATCTGAAACACTCTGGTCCCAAGCATTTTGGATGAGGGCTACTCAACCTGTAGATATTTATGTATGCATATATATGTGTATATATATATAGTATAATTTTTAGTACTATCTGAAGTGATCTTATCTACTTGTTTATTATCTATCCCACAAGAGTGTAAGCCCCAGTAAGGCAAGAACCTTTGTCTCATTCACTTCTGTATCCCTGGTACCTGGAACAGTTACCTTGCACAAAGTGCTTAATAACTTTTTCAATGAATTTCACAAAGTGTTTAATAAGGTTTTTTTGTTAAAGAATGGATGAATAGCACTCTTCACACTGTTTGTTGTTAATTTCTACTCAGTATCCATTTTCTACTTCCATGGTAGTAGACCCTACTTTTGTTTTGGATGTCAATATAGAATAATCATTGTCTCGGACTCCTTTGTAGCTTAGGGTCATCATGTGATGTATTTCCTATCAATGAGATATAGTCAAAGGAGGGCTAAGGATGTCTGGGAAGATTTTTGCTGTCTTGATATATATACTGCCCTTTCTTCCATCCCCTTTTCCTCCTTCCTGCCTGCAATACAGGCTAGAAATAGAGCAGCCAAAGAGTTGATAATCATGAAGACAAAAATGGGGAAGCAAGAAACACCTGAGACATTGATGGTCTAGTGGAGTCACTATTCCACTAACGCCAGACCTCTTATTATGTGAATAAAATTGACCCTTTGTAGTTTAAGCTCCAACAACCAGGTTTCTGTTACATGTAGCTGAATACATTATCAACTGATACACTATGATGGGATAATATCTACCCATCTAGGCTAATCATTAAGAGTAATTTTACATATATATATATATTTCATCTTCCTTATTACTCTATGGGATAGGATTGAAAGAATTTGTCAGCACAAATATCACTCACTATCCAGATATCTTCAAATAGTGACAGTGATCAGCTAGCAAGGAACACCACATTATCTAAATCTACTTGGTTCTTGAGTTTACACAGATTTCAAATAGTGAGGGTTACACATTCATTCCTGAAACAAACATTTATTTATTGCCAATGTATGCCAGGCATTATACGGCTATTGGGAATACAGAGATGATTTAGTCAAATGATTGAAGCTGGATGCCAAAGTACCCACTAAGCTCCCAAAGGGCAGTAGCTGAGTTGCTTCCAGTAAGGGAAAGACTTAATTCTAGCAGTTTTCTCTACCATCTTGTTCCTCATATCAACCTTCTTTATCCCCGTCCTCACTTTAATGGTCTCACTTGACTTATTCATTCACCAGCTTTGTTTGTTTTTAGTACTTCCTGTGTGCCTAGCATACCTACTACTTGGGCTGTATATCTGTTTGTATTTTGAATCCCTAACTTTTGACCTCCAAGATAAAGATCATTCAGGTTTCAAATTCTTTGTGCTTTCTTACAAGTAAACCATGTGCTTCTACCTGATCCATCATAAAGTGGCTGTTCTCCCAATATCAACACATCCATGTGGTCTCCCTAAACTCAGCTGGGGGGCTAAGATGCATTAACCTTATTCTGGTGTCAGATTGGGTGTTACAGTGCCCAGCCCAAATGATGGATCCCCTCACTCATTTCCAGTGCACAGCCAGATCAAAACTTGGTTCAGGGACTGCAAACTAGTACAACCTCTATGGAAAGTAGTATGGAGATACCTCAAAGAACTAAAAGTAGACCTACCATTTGAGCCAGCAATCCCACTACTGGTATCTACCCAAAGGAAAAAAAGACATTCTATAAAAAAGACATCTGCACTCAAATGTTTACAGCAGCGCAATTCACAATCACAATGATGTGGAAACAACCCAAGTGCCTATGAATACATGAGTGGATTAACAAAATGTGGTATATGTATACCATGGAGTACTACTCAGCCATAAAAAAAAAAATGATGAACTACTTATTGTATTATCCTGGATGGAGCTAGAGCCCATTCTTCTAAGTGAAGTATACACAAATGGAAAAACAAACACCACATGTACTCACCATTAAATTGGTACTAATTGATAAACACTAATGTGCACATATGGGAAGTAACATTCGTAGGGTGTTGGGCAGATGGGAGGGGAGAAGGAGGGAATGGGTAAATCCACACTTAACGTATGTGGCATGTGCTGTCTGGGTGATGGGCATGCTTGTTGGGCAGTGCAAAGGCAATTTATGTAAGCAAAGTGTTTGTATCCCCATAATACTTTGAAATTAAAAAAAAAAAAACTTGGTACAGTAGTAAAACACTTCAGACTAGTCATAAACTTAACCCCCAGGGTTAAAGCTTTAGGAATTTTTGCCATGGGAACACTGCAGATGTAACACAGATTGAGGGAGACCATTGAGAAAGGTGTCAGGAATCCTGGGACCACACTGTATTGTCTCTTGATATTTTACTTTTGAGGTTCTTTAAATTATTATCTGTATGTGTGTATACTATTTCAGGGGCAGGGGGGTGGGCTGTTTTGAGAATCTGATGGAAATTATAGCACCTTTCCCTAAAATGGTATACATTTACACACACACACAGTATTTAGAAACAGTTTCAGGATGTCTGGGTTAATCATCCACCTGTGACTTGCCATGAGGTTAGAAACTTTTTCTATACCATAATTTAGTCCTTTATCATGTATATTTTTCCCTTCATATGTGCATGTTTTATCCCAATGAGCAAGCAACCTTCCTTCAGGGAACCTTGCCCCAGTGATGTGTGCATGTAAGGACCTTGGCTTGTGGGAAATATTTGCCAGTTGAGTCCTTCAAGGCTGCTGTGGTTTACTGAGGACAGGCAGCTTTCCTTTCAACACTCCATCCTCCTCCCCACCACCCTCCAACACAAAAGAGAGCACTATAAGGGGACTTGGACCCAAGAGTCATGTTCTATTTACTTTCTAGGTGTTAGGTTGAGGCATTATTTACATATTCCTCATGCAAATACCCACTCTTGTATATTTAGAGAACAAGACAGTGCCTAGTGGAAAGCTTTATACAAAAAAAAAAAAAAAAGTCAGTATGTAGTAATAAAAGAATGCATTCTGTTGTCTCAAAAATTTGTAATGTCTTTATTCCTTCTTCAGCGTTGTACCTCGCCCCATACATACCCACACATGTACTCAGGACCCCCTTTTGTCCTATCCCATGAGTTACTTCTCAAACTGCGCTCCTTTCCTGGCATGTGCTTGTGGAAAAAATTAAAAGCAGGAATAAACCTAATGTTAATAGAATGGTGGCCATGTGGTTTTTCCTTTTTTTCTGATCCTACCCTCCCTCCTATAAATCTCAAAGGGCCACCTTCAATCTTAACTTTGGAATTTGGAAGGGCTTAACCTCCGCCAGCCTCCTCTTCCTGACTCCATAGGTGATTACGGCCACCTGGTGGCCATATGGGGGAATGACGGATTGCCCCCCCAAAAATTCTGGTGACAAGAACCTCTATGGAGTAATTTTTCATCTTGGATCTATGAGAAGCCAGGAAAAAGAAACCTATGGATAGAAGCTACAGCACAGGAACCAGATATCCTATTTCTTGGTCCTGCCTTGCCTTCCAGGACATAATATCCCACCCACTAGTTATTACAGACACGACAAATTCACTAAACATTTGAGTTCATTCAATCAAAATTTATTGAGCAACAACTGTGTGCCCTGCAATAGGAATACAGCAGTAAACAAAATGGACAAGATCTCTGCCCTCATGAGCTTACAGTCTAGCAGCCAGCCAGGCAGTTAAATCCATAATTTCACAATTGTAATAACTCTTGAAAAATGCTTGGTGCTAAGAAAAGATTTAACAGTCTTAACCTACACCAAGAAATCATAGACGGCCTCCCTGAGGAAGAAACATTTCGTTTGAGCTACGTGGAAAGTGGAAGGAAGAGCGCTATAAGCAGAGAGAGCCTGTGAAGGCTCTGCGGCAAGAAGACATTTAATGTATTGAAAGCCAGCCAGTGTGCCTGGGGCTTGGGGAACTAAGAGGAGTATTGCTGGAGATATGCAAGGTAGGCAGGGCCTGATGTATACAAGGTCTTTGAATTTAAGACTTTATTCCGAAAGCAACTGTGAGCCACTGAAGAATCTGAGGCAGGAGAGTTAGATGTTCCAGTTTGTTTTCAGAGATCACTCTGACTTCAGCATATGGAGGGCAGGAGTGGAAATATGAGGACAGGTCAGGAAGTTTCCACAGCAGTCTAAACAAGAAGTGATGGTGACTTGGAGAAAAGAAGATGGGTTCTAGACATATTTTGGAGAAAATCTACTTGATAGTGACTGGGTGTGTGAAGAAAGGGACACATTTCTGGTAAGAGGTATTGAAGTAGGAGACTCTGGAATAGGGATAGGTTTGGGCAGAATGAGCACATCCCATAGGCACAGGCCCTGAGGCTGTGGCTAGAGGAAGAGTCTAGCATAGCTTTGGTTCACAAATAGTTTAGGGTTTAATTGAGCAAACAAGATATACATAAAATAATTGTAGAATTGATTAAAGATCAGAATGATTGATTCAGATAATAATGGACTCCTGCATTCCATGGGACTAGATGTAAGCCCTCAGTCTCACAGTGAATTCAGATACTGTTGAAGCCAACAGGGGTGTCCTCACCTTTGTTCATGCCTCTTATAGTCAGCCCCTCAGAAACCTCCTACGCAGCCCACCTGCTGTCTCACAGGGGCCACCTTTCCCTGCATTGAGCCCTGGTGCCTCCTGCCATGAAGATGCACTAAACTCTCCCTGATTCTTTTTTGCTTGCTGCTGCCAGGAAATTCACCTGTTATTCTCAATTCCCCTCCCCTGCTTAGGTTAAAGGGGACCAAATCTAGCCATTGCCCCCATGGTTGTTCTCTTTTGGGCACCAGGAGAGTTTCCTGACTTACTTAGCTCTTCTCTTTATATTATCCCTGTCAAGCCCCCTCTTGGAGTCACCATCTTGCAAAGTCAATCCTGTCTTCCTTGCCTTCCCTAAGTGGCAAGACCCAACATGAAAAAGTGTCTCCTTTTTGCTCCTTCACCAAAGTGTCCCAATTCACAGGCCTTCTCCCCACTCTAGTTTTTCCTGGAGTCAGTAAATATCCAACTCTTTGCCTCAAAAAAGTCAGAAGAGAAATTTTACCATGGGATTAATAAGGAAGTAGCCTCAATAGCTATTGCTTAGGTGACACTTAGCATTCCATGCCTTCTCTTTGCCACTAGAGAACTCTGCTAACTCCCTTCCAAAGACAATAACTGCTGACTACACAACAGACCTACAGTTTTCCATTGTACAAGGAGCCTAGAACAAACCCACATCCCAAATACTTAGTCTGAGAGCAGTAGTTACAATTATTAACATGAGATTAGACATTGACATAGTCCCTTTATATTGAAAAGAACATAGATTGTGGAATTGGGCAGGCTTGGATTTGTATCCTGCCACTGGTGATTACTAACTGATGTGCCTTTGTGCTATTAAGCTTTTCTAAGTTTCAAAGGACTTATCTGTAAAATAGTGGTAATGATATCCATCTTATGGGGTAGTTGTCTTAGGGTATATAAAGCATCTAGCATAACACCTGCCCTGAATTACCTGACAACCATTCATTTAGTTTCTTTCCCTTGAGTTTGAGCTGCCAAACACTCTTGTAAAAGATAAGCCAGTTTTATTCATTTATTTATTATTTTTTGAGACAGAGTCTTGCTCTGTCACCTGGGCTAGAGTACCATGGCATCAGCCTAGCTCACAGCAACCTCAAACTCCTGGGCTCAAGCGATCCTCCTGCCTCAGCCTCCTAAGTAGCTGGGACTACAGGTGTGTGCCACCATGCCTGGCTAATTTTTCTATTTTTAGTAGAGACGGAGTCTCAGTCTTGCTTAGGCTGGTCTCAAACTCCTGACCTTAAGTGATCCTCCCGCCTTGGCCTCCCAAGAGTGCTAGGATTACAGGCCTCATGAGCCACCACGCTTGGCCCGATAAGCCAGTTTTAAATGGTCAATGATAGACACCTCCTATTCCTCTCTTTGTAAATCCCCTCTTCCTGCAGCCATCCCATTTCCATCATTGCCAAAAAAGTTCTTCAACCCTTCATCCCTGTAGGATTTTTCTTTCTCTTACAATCAAACAGCTCTGCCTGAGGTCTATCTGACTATCCTCTTCTACATCTCCATAATCCAAGATTCTTCATCTCGTATCATTCCTAAAAATTAATTAATTCATTTCTAGCATTGTTCCTAAGTTTCTCAGAGAAAATTGTAATGGAGCTGGAGAATAGGACCCTTATACATCAGAAAAGCATGGGAACCCCAGGCAAGTTCACAGAGGGGAATGGAGGTCCATCTAGGTCCAGACACCCCCTACCCCCACCTCTTTTCCTCAGGGTACAGAAAAAGCCATACTCAAAATATGCCTTAAGTATACATGAGCATACATCTCGTTTCCTATAGCTCTGTGAGATCATCATTGAAATACAGCAGTATTGCAGGTGTGTGCAGTGTACCATCCATATTGAGATAGTCAAATTCTTCCTCCTCATCCCGGATCCCATTCTCTTCTAGGGTACGATCCATGTTCAGGTTCTTCCCTTCATATTTCCACGTGTAGCTGGCAGCATGTGCATTATAGGGGAGATACCGGTGTAGGATTTCCCACATTGACTCCAGGATCCCCACCTGTAGAACACAGAAGCACCCCACCAGCAGAATTCTGGATGGAGTGTGTGTGCATACATACACACACACACACACACACACACACACAGAGCAAAGGCCAGTAGCCCACAGTATGATAGAGCCAAGGTCAGAGCGCTTACTTTGGCAGATAGCAACTTCAGGCACTTTATGGTCCCAGAAATAAAGTTGAAGCTCCAGCATGCAATGAATGGGCCCCAAAGTCCTACCTAGCTTAATGGCAACCACTTCTAACAAACAGGCCAACTGCACCCTTGTTATATCCCTGCAATAGAGTACAGTAATAAGAGAGTCCCACTGCTATCCAGAAGAACTTCCAAGGACCACCATCGCTAAGATGCATGAACTGCTGCCCTGGGCTTATAAAAGAATCTCTTGTACCCCTATGTCCCAGACACTCCTAGGATTCACAACCCTGAGGACCTAGGTTTTCTGCTTTGCCTCAGTATAAGGGACAGAAAATACAGCTTCCACCGGTTAATGGCAAAACTGATGGCCTGGAGATTAGCTGGGATTCCCAGTTCCCTCTAACCTGCCTTCAGGCACTGGTTCTCACCTCCAATGTCTGCTCCTGCGACGTGAGCGTATTAATGATGCGGATGATCCGGGTCTTGGCAGACAGCCGCCCCACCTCGTAAGAAGACCTCTGCCACCAGGGCTTCCCGAAATCATTGGCCCAGTCCGAACGGGGCAGCAGAGGCGGAACGTGCACAAAGCGGCCCCGCGGGGTGCAGTACCTCAGGCAGCTGGTCAGCGGATCTATGTGCTTACGGATCTTTAAAGCAGGGTTTGGGGGCGAGGGGTCAGAGCAGTTACTATTTCAGGCTCTAGCTAGCCCCCGCTTTTGCTCCCCATCCCCGTTCTCCAGTGCCTCTACCCACAACCCCAAGTTCCAGCAGAACTCACGTCTTTGGTCTTAGGATCAAACCAGTGGCTGATGTCCTGACCTGCAACTTCCACGATGGGTTTCAGCAGCAGGTTCCCTGGGAAGGAGCAGCCACCCTCAATACCGATGCCGACCACTCAAGAACCAGGCATCCCCCCACATACACACTCCAGCCCTAGCCCAACGTGTGGTCCTTACCCTTATATTCCTCTGCCAGTGGCGTTAGGTCGTACACGCGTCCCAGGTAAGACACCCAGAGGTCTTCGGGTTGGTTATGTTGGGCAACCTCTGCCGGCGTGAAATAGCGACGCTGGAAATACTCAAACTCTGGCCCAGCCACTAGACCCCGGCGCGGCATGGCTCTTGCTCTGTCGGTCACCAGCTCCCTTAGTACCTTCCTGGCTCCTCTGTATAGTACACTCACTACTACCTCCGCCCTCTCTTCCAGCAGCTAAGGGGAGCGCGTTTATCCGCTGACATGGAAACCATTGTCTTTTTCCGGCCACTGAAATTAAACACTGTGCGGGTCAAGAGGGGCTAGGGCTGCGTGTGCTCTTGGGAAACGTAGTCTGATTCGGCATCTGGCATGTAAGTATCAAGTAATTGAGTTACATCCTCAGAAGTTGGGGGCGGGGAACGAACACGCTCCGTTTTAATTCAGTGGCCTGGGATACATGGGATATATCTCCCGAGGCAGAAAAACAAGGTGAGGGGACCATCACGAGAGAAGATATTCTCGCTAAATCCCAGAGTTTCTAAATAATGTGTAAGAAACCATAGAGGTAAAGTTCTCGCGATATCATAAGACATCCGGCGTAAAAAAACTTTACTGAGCCACAGTTCTGGAGAAGTAGGAAAAGCTCGCGAGATCTCACTAGGAGGGGGAGGAGATGTGATCTCGCGAAAGGAAACGGGTCGGGAGCGATCGCGAGATCTCAGACCACCGGACCCGAAAGGTGCTTTAGAAGTTCAAGGGCCCAGAGGAGGCCCAAAGGCAAATGGCCGGAGCTGGGCCCACCATGCTGCTACGAGAGGAGAATGGCTGTTGCAGTCGGCGTCAAAGCAGCTCCAGCACCGGGGTTAGCGTGGGTTCAGGTTCTGGGATTGAGGGGCAGTCGGGCAGCAAAATGGGGGGACGGGCGGGGGGGAACTGCAGCTCCCAGCAGCCTCTGGGCTTTGTGTGAGCGCCCCGCGGGCTGCCGGGAGCTGTGGTTCCGCGGGTGGGCGGGCAGCTGGAACTGCGGGGTCTGAGCGCGTGTCCCACCCTGCGCAGGACTCGGAGGGGGAACGTGAGGACTCGCCGGCTGCGCGCGCCCGGCAGCAGCTAGAAGCGCTGCTCAACAAGACTATGCGCATTCGCATGACAGATGGACGGACACTAGTCGGCTGCTTCCTCTGCACTGACCGCGACTGCAATGTCATCCTGGGCTCCGCGCAAGAGTTCCTCAAACCGTCGGGTCAGTGCCCGGGGAAGGCACAGCCGCCTGGCAATGCGGCGGAACCTCACGCAAGGCATTTCCCCTTCAGGGCCTGACTGCACCCCTGCGTTTCTGGGGTTTATTTTCGTGGCTCAGAAGGGGCGGGATTGATGCTGGTCTACCTCTCTGATGCTCTGACCCTTCTTTCCAGATTCCTTCTCTGCCGGGGAGCCCCGAGTGCTGGGTCTGGCCATGGTACCCGGACACCACATCGTTTCTATTGAGGTGCAGAGGGAGAGCCTGACGGGGCCTCCGTATCTCTGACCACGATCGCGCATGCCTTTCAGACTTTATTAAACCTATGACTGAAGTGGCCTGTGTCTGTGTAGCTGGGATGCCAGGACAGAGATAGCACACCCCACCCTAGAAGAGAGGGTTTATCTCAGGTCGGGAGCACTCTCAGCTTTCCTCTCCCAATTTGGATATCCAGGGGTGCCAAAGGTTCCCTCGAGTTCGAGGGTGGAGATGGGGGACAAGGTTGAGCTGCGGACCAACAGCCCCCAGGGTGGGCCCCTGCATCTTTCCTCCCACGCTACTGCTCCAGAATTGTGGCGGGAGGGGATGTCATCCTGCTCCGGAAGGCCCATTGTTTCCCACCCCGGCCTGGCAACACTGAGTTCCTCTAAGCTGAGGTCAGAGAACGGGCTTGGGTCCCCATGGGGAGCAGGGCTAGCGGCCGAGGCTGGGCCCCCTCCGCTCTATTGATGGGGAGGTGACTGGGGTCAGGGACAGAGCTCTGAGGTCTGGCCAGGAAAAATGGACTAATGCGATAAGGGAAGGCCAGGAGGCAGAAGGATGCTCTGGCCTGCGCCTTTGTAACTCCCGTTCACGTTGTTTCCTGCTCCTGAGCACAGGGCGAGGGTGATGTCTTATTTGTGCCACCCTTCTGTTCACAGAGCACAAATGCAGTACATTAATTCTTTATTGATGTTTGAGCACCCCTTGTCCTCCAGCCCTGCCCCCTAGCTCGGTAAATACTAGAGGAGCTGCACCAGAAAAGGAGGGCACAAGATTCAGTTATCCTATTCACTATAGGGGTGTGTGTGTGTCTGTGCACGGGCGCCTGTATAGGGTCCAGCCCAGATATTCAGGATTTAGACGTAGGTAGTGAGAAGAAAGTGGGTTTTCCGGGGTGTGGGAATTTTCACCAGCATTGGGTTCCTGATGATGCTGTTCTCTAAGGGGATGCTAGGACCCGGCTCAGGCAGGAGTGGGGGCAGGGCAGAAAACCCCGGGGCTTCAAGTCCTTGGGCGGCGGAAAGGGAGGGACTGCTGCCGTCTCAGTTGCTCTAGACTTGAGGTTTCCTCAGACCCAGACCTTTCCTGATGTGGGAATGGCTGGGGACCCTGGTGAGGCCCGGGTTTGCAGCGGCTGCGGGGCGCGCCGTCGCCGATAGAGGGCTCGGCTGTAGGGTACGAGGCAGTCGGCCAGGCGGAGACGCAGGCAGAGGCGGCGGTAGCTGGCCAGAGCAAGCACGAGCAGCGGCACGAGGAGCAGGAATCCGGTGACCAGCAGGGCTGTGAAGCCCGGGTCCCGCAGGTGCGCGGTGCAAGGGGGTGCCTGGGATCGCAGGAACTGTGGGAGGAAAAGAGGCATCAAGCCCAAGCGGACCTGGGCCATACTTTGCGCCGGGTGGGAACAGCCCAGGCAGAGAAGTTGTGGCCCATAGACGCCACCGCCAGCATCACCACACACACCCACACTGCACACGCCTCCCGGGGGCACGCTCACCTGTGAATGGCAGAGGAAGCCGAAACCCAGCATGGTGACGGCGGGTAGCAAAATAGTCCCCAGCACCAGCGCCAGCAGGAGAAGATTGAAGGCAGCCACCAGCAGATTCTGGGCCGTTACCAGCACAGCGCAGGCCCAGCAGTCCAGGGGGTCCCGGGGCTCTGGGCCACCGCTGGGAACCGGTCGCTGCGCCCCGGGGACATCCGCCATGGCCCGCCTGGCTCCCGCCCGCCTGGGCCGCTGCCCTTATAGCCCTCTTTCCTGCCCCTCCCCCGGCGTAGCCTCTCCCCACCCCCCTTCATCCTGGAATGCGGCTCTAGGATTAGGCACCCCCCATCCTGAGGAGCGGGCCAGAGCTCTGGACATTCCACAGGCGCCTCCGGGGAGGGGCTCGCCCCTCGAGAGGGTCTGCACAGTCCTCCCCATCAATCATGCTCTTGCAGCCCTCCTCCCGGTACTCTCCCTGCTATCACCAGCACGTTATCAAAACAGGGTGTTTTTTTCTGGCTTTTATTTTTAATATTAATATTCTCACACAAAAATCACTGAAAATAGGGGTAGGGTTGGGAAGAACCCTCTGCCCCTGGGGCAGAGAGACAGTGCAGTGCGAGGGGACGGGACTGTAAACCCCCCACCCCTCCGCAGCCCCAGCATGGAGAAAAAACAACGTAAAGCCCCAGGGAAACTCACCCCGGGGTGTCCCTGCCCCAGTGAGGCCCTGGCCCTGGGCTGTTTCACGCTTAAAAACAAAAGGGGGTGGGAGTGAAGGTCCGTGTTTTTAAAATAGGCCGGGGCTGGAAAGGACGGGGTTCCTTTTCCTCATAGTTCTTTCTTTAAAACCTTTAAATTTTTTTATTTTATTTATTTTTTTACAAAATACCATTTCAGTTCCCACTTCTTCCCCTACAGTACAGGAGTCGCTCACCCTCAGGCGGGGTTGGGGTCGGGTTGGGAGTTGGGGGACTGGTCCGAGAAAGTGCAGGACGTAGGGGAGGGGAGCGGGTTTGAGCACCATGAGAACCCGGCTGGAGCCGCGGGCGGACGGGCAGAGACGGTCGGGCCGGGCCCGGACACACACTGGGGGGCAGGGAGAGCCCAGCGGCGGGCGGTCCCTGGAGGGGCGGGCGGGATGGCTTCGGGGTGCGGGAGGTCGGGTTTTCCCAAAAATGAATAAATAGAGGTGAGTGGGACTGTTATAAATTAAAAACCAAAAACAAAAAGAACAAAAAATACAAATCATAACCAAGTGAATAAACAGACATGTACAGGGGTCACAGCTAGCATTGGAAGTAAAAAAGGAGGTTCCGGGGGAGGGGTAAAGCCCATAGAAAGAATCTCATTAAAAACCTCGGCTGCCGTAACGTCTATGTACATACACTAGCCGCGTGCATCAGCGCCGGGCGGGCGGGCGGCTGGCAGGCGTGAGGGAACCCGTATGCGACCCCCGCCGCCGCCGGAGCCTGGTCCTTGTGTCTGTTGCTAGAAAGGCCAAAGTCGGTGAGGGGAGGCGCTGGGTGGGCGAGGGGCTGCCAGCACCCTCCCCCCCCCGTCTCCCATTTTTTTTTCCTTTTTTCCTCATTATTTGTTAAAAAAAAAATTTCTTAATAAATTAAGTGAGGGGAGCTGCCAATGGGGTGGAAGGGCTGGGCCCAACCCCCCTCCCGGCCAGAGGCGGGACCTAGGTCCAGCCCAGGCGTGTGCTGGTGGCCCCGCGGCGCCCTGCGCGGGCGGGCAGGCGGGCGGGGCGTCCGGCCTCATCGCGACGTGCTGGCCGGGGCCTGCGGGTGAGAAAGCGGTCTGGTTCAGCGGTGGGCGCGGGCTGGGCCCTCCACCCCGAGCGCGCCTCTCACCTTCCCGCCGCCCGCGCCCCGCCCCGCCAGGCCCTCACCAGCGTGAAGGCGTCGTAGGCCTGCGCCAGCTCCTCAGTGCGGTACTGCTCCAGCACCACCACGCCCTGCAAGCCCGCGCTGCGGCGCCGGGCACAGCCTTCGCAATGCACCAGGTACGTGTTGCGGCTGCCGTTCTCGCTCGTCACGAACAGGATGTTGAACACCTCCACCTGGGACAGGGACGAGGGGCAGTCACGGGGAGGGAGGGCCACTGTGGGTACCTCCGGGGCAGGGGGAGCAGGAGAGCCGGCCCACTCACGTCGCACTCGTTGCAGTAGTAGGCGGGCTCGTCCTTGACCCTGCCCTGGTAAGCGATTTTCTTCCCTGCCCGCACCAGGCTCTCCCGCTGCACCTGGCAGTGCTTCATGGACTGCAGGAGACAGAACCTGGGAAGCAGTGGGGTGGTGTTGAGGTCAGGCTGCTGGCAGGGGGGAGTAGGCGAGGCAGGGTTGGAGCAGGGCAGAGGGGGTGGGGGCTTAAACCCCTGAGACCGCAGTGCCATAGCCTCCCCCTAGGGGGCCTCCCCTCTCTGTGCCTAGGTCACATCCTCTGTCCTGAATATCTGTCACAGTTGAAATTTCATGTAGCTTTTGTCTATTTGGACCACGGGGAAATCAAGGTCTTGAGAGCAGGGACATTAAGCCTCCTCAACACAGTAACGCTGCGGGGCACAGGGCAGACATGGACCGAGAGAGCTGCAGAACTGGGTAGAGTCAGGCGGGAACAGGAGCAGGAACCAGGGTAGGTGGAGATGGACTCCCACCAAACAGGGTTCTCACTTGATCATCTTGAACAAGTCGGGGTCGCTGATTTTGACTGTTCGAGCCACATTCCAGGACACGTGAATCATGGGTACAATGGATTTGACGTTCTTCACCTCGTTCCACTCGTATCGTTCCAGGGCCAGCTGGTACTGATAGGCTGCAAGCCAGAGGGGATCACTACGGGATTCTCAACCAGCCCCTAGCCACTCAGGCCAAAGCCCCTTCCCTCACAGCTAGCCATCTTCCCAGTCCCCTCACCCCCACCCCCGTGTGCCCACTCTCTACGGGGCTCACTCCCCAGGAGCCCCATCCCCTCAATGTTGAGAAGCCCTACACCTGGCCCCACCCTCTCACCGGTGAGGGGCCCCACGTTCCAGGCGATGTTGTTGCACCAGCCAGTGGCCTGCACCCAGTGCACAGTCCCCGCGTTAATCCACACCAGGTCTCCCGGGCGCTGCACGAAGCGGTACACAGGAATATTGGATGCATAGAGGTCATCCAATATGGGCCACCAGGAACCCGTCAAGTAGTCCACGCCGTGCCTGCGGGGTGGCCACAGGGTCAGGTGGGAACCTGGAGACCGAGGGAGAGGACGCGGTGGGGTGACTAGCAGGGGAGTGGCACGCACCGGTCGCAGAAGGCGCTGATAGTCTCCCAGTAGTGCTCGTGCACCGCGAACCACTCACAGTCACCTGGGCCAATGTTGATGTTGACGGAGCAAAAGTTGTTGTTCTCTTGGTGGCCTGCAGGGGGCGACAGAGAACCGCATAGCTGGCCGAAACGGCGCTGCAATCCGCGACAGCCCCGCCCTCTGCCCTCATTGGCTGGCGGCTGACGGTCACCGCCAGCCCCTCCTCTAGCGCTTCTCGCGCGGCGCACGGGTGTGGAGCGCACCTGGCGTTCGGCTGCCGGGCACCTTCATGTACAGCTGCACTGTGTTCATGCCCAGGATGGTGTGGCCCACGTGGCTCAGCATGTTGCCCGTGGATGTTACCCGCATGAAGGCGGGCAGCTTCAGCAGCTCCTGCAGCTGGGGCTTCCACCTAAGGTGCGAGGGTTAGAAACTGAGAGGCTACCCCTGATTCCGAGCCCAGCGGCACTCATGCCCCAGCTTTGCTGGCCTCAGCCCACTGACCGCTTAGCATCAGACAGGTCGATGTTGGTGCCAAACTTGATGATGTGATGGTTCTTCGGGTCTGGTGCGCTGCTGCGGGGACGAAGAGCACAGGTTGGTGGAGAGCAAAGGGAAGGGAAGGAGTCAGGAAGGAAAGGGTACGACTGTACTGTACCTAGGAGGGGTTCCTGTGGTGCTGTCCGGCTCTTCTGACTCCTCATCCTCACTCTCCTTCTCCTCCTGCTCAGACAGAGGAGTAGTCAGGCCTGGGTCAGTGACCTTCCAGGAGCCCTCCCACCGCAGGCCCTGATCCCAGCACCCTGCCTCTGCTCATGCTCGCCTCTCACCTGCAGCGACTCCTGGAAGGAGGAGGCTTGGTACTGTGCGTACTTGGCAATGGTGGTGTGGGAACGGGAGCTCTCGCAGGGCCAGATCTGTCGCGTGCCAGTCAGATCCCAGTTCTCATCTGAGGGCTGCTGCACCTGGGTGCGCACTTCCACAGTGTGCTCTCCACTCGCCTCCACCAGCGTCTTGGTGGAGAAGAGGCCCAAGTCTGCAAGGGAGGGCCGAGCAGGGCGTCGGGGCAGAGGCAGAGGACAGGGATCGAGGACCCAGCTCACCCTTTCCCTTCCTACTCCAGAGGCCTCTGACAGGATGGCCAATGGCTTGCCAGAGCTCAGCCCAGGAGGAATAGGCAAGAACCCCTAGCCCAGAGGAAGCTGGAAGGGCTGGCCTCTATTTGGCTTCTCACTAGCCCCCTTCCTCCCACAGCTGCTCAAGGCTCAGCCCCTCAACCAGAGTCCTCAGGTGTGCATTTAGCCATGTGTGCAGAGCACCTGGCACACAGTAGGTGCTCAGTGAATGACAGCTTCTTTAAGTTATCATTGGATCCAATTAAAGACTTAGTTAAGTCAAAGCCTGAAATGTACTTCAAATAATTCAGTGGAAGGAAGGGAGGATACATGGATATAAAGGAAACAAGACTGATCTTTATATTTCTGTATAATTTCCTCTACTTTTGTATGTGTTTGAAATTTTGCCCAATAAAACGTTGAAAAGAAAGCCATAGGTTTTCAGGAGTTTTCTAAAGTCTGTATTCTTTCCATCCTTAATCACCAAGAAAACCACAGTGACTCTCACCAGGCCCTGAAATATATCCCCTTCCCATCTGCCCACTGCTGGGAACAGACAGATGGAAGAAAAGCCCAAGGCCAGCTGACCCATCACTCAGAGCACTTCTCATAGCCACTGTCCTGGGTCTTTAAGTGTGGGGGTTCTCAGAGGGTCCCATTTGCCCCAGATCCCTGCAGCCCTCCCCACACTTTCTGCCCCTCAATACTCACTGAGCCGCAGGGAACCCGCCAGGCCTCTGATCACGGTGATGGGGTTTCGAGGGTCTGTACAGAACTGCAGCAGGACCGGTGAGAAGGCGTCCCGTTTGCTCTC